TATATATATATATATATATATATATAAAGTGATGGCCGAAAGCGTAAACATTTTTTGAAAGTTTCATGTTTTTCACTTTGTGTGCATGTAGAATATAATATTTTTCACTTAAATACAAACGTTTATATATCAAATTGAAGGTAATTTAATGTAGAATTCAATAATAAATACAGTATTACAATATCTATATTACAAAACTATTAATAAGATCTATCTTAGATTAAAATTTTTCTAAAGTGATACTTACACAATCAATACTTAGTAGGATAACCCTTATTTTTTAAGACAGCTTCACAGCGTCTTTTCATCGAGTGAACGAGTGTTTGGAGTTCATCTTTCGTAATCACATGGTGCCAAGAATCAATTATAGCTTCAATAAGTTGTCTTTTATTGGATGGACGTTTTTTTCGTACAAGAATTTTCAAACGTCGCCACAAATTTTCAATTGGATTGAGATCAGGGCTGTTTCCTGGCCATGGTAACATATCTATGCCTTTATTTTGAAACCATGCTTTGCATACTTTTGCTGTGTGGCATGGAGCTGAATCTTGCTGAAAAATAAATGGTGCGTGGTTGGGGAAGAGATCCCTGATGGAAGGTATCAATTTTGGTTTCAGGACAGTTTTGATGAATTTTTTTGGCATTTAGGATGCCACCAATCACTTGAATTCGGCCCACACCGTCTGCAGACATACATGCTCAAATCATGACATTTGTTCGTTTTTTTGTAGTCGCTTCAATGCAATCAGGATGAAGTGCTTCACCTACTCTACGTCTCACATAATTTCTACCATCACTACCAAGGAGCGATATTTTACTCTCATCGCTCCAGATTACTTGCTTCCATTGATTTTCTGACCATTTAATGTGTTCTTTTGCCCACTTAACTCGTTTTTCGTGTTGCTTTTGATTTAAATATGGTTTTTTCCTTGGAATTCTAGCTTGTAGTCCAAATCCTGATAACCTTTTTCTTATTGTTCTTGAACTTACTGCAATACCCGCAGCATTCATTTCACATCTAATGGCATCTGATGAAATTTTTCTATCTTGAAGGCATAGCCGTTTACTTTTTCTATTGGTAGTAGCACTTGTGCATTTTTTCGACCTGATTTGGCTTTATTTTCCACTGATTTCGTTTTTTCATAACGTAAACAGAACTTTCGTACACCAGAACAAGTCACTGAACCACCAACTTGTCTTGCAATTTCAGCATAAGAGAGGCCATTTTCTCTGAATATGACAATTCGGCTTCTTTTTGCAGATGTCCAATTAGTTCTTTTTGATGACATTGTTTAAAATTAGTTTAATTAAAAAAAAGGACTTTAAATATTCAAAAACGGCAATATTCTATTTAATTGTACTAGTATGCATAATTCCGCAAAATATATTTCCACAACAATAACCCTTTTACCATCCAAATAACCTAAACTATAGTTACAGACATTTGATTGGTCCTAAAAACAGTGTTTGTAATTGGCTAGTACGCTTTTATTACAAAACAGGTCTTATTCAAAACGATTTGTGTTTGTTTGTTCTACTAAAATGAGTATAACTTTTTTTTGTAATACAGATATTTTAATTCCGTTTTTGTTATTAAATTCTACATTAAATCACCTTCATTTAATATATAAACTAAGTAATTTAATATTCCATTTAAGTGAAAATTAATATATTCTACAAGCACAAAAAGTTGAAAAACATGAAACTTTCAAAAAATGTCCACACTTTTGGCCACCACTGTGTATATATATATAGTACCGAACCCGTTATCCGGAAACCAAAAAACCGGAACGAAATTCGGTAAATTTTCCCGCCATTTNTACAGATATATATATATATATATATACTGTATATAAGAGAAAGTCAAAACTGTCCTGAACATTTTGCATGTGTGTAAAGTTTAATACAAACAGTCAACACTATTACTGATCAGCAAGTTATATTAGAATAAGGGTAGGATTATCTGCAGTATGTTCTAGATAGAAAGTGGGATGAAGATGCATCCAAAATTACCATTACTCAAATGGATAACACTTTTTGCATGTTTTAATCATGTTGTAACAGTTATTTTTGTAAATAAAATTGTTTTGCTTGAAAGTAAGGAATTGTTACAGCAATTATTTCTTGTTTTTACAAATAAGTGACATTTTTTTAATATAAATTAAATGAGTTTTAAAAAGAGTGTGACTGGGCTTTAGCTTTGTTCATTTTCTTAGGTAATGTGATTAGTTAACTGCATTCATTTTTTTTTCTTTAACAGGATGCTTTTATAAAAATAACAAAGTATGAAGGAATTTCCTCTTTATGGAGTGGTCTTGTACCAACTTTGTAAGTTGTAAAAATTTTATATTAATTTAAAACAAATTTAGGACTTTTTACTGATGAATTGTTTGAATAACCAATCAATGATTTTATTTTATATGTACCTATTATCTTTTAAAATGTTGAAAAGATCTAGTTTTGTCACATAAAAACATTAATCGAACTACTTTAAGCTTCAGCATGTTAATTTTACCATTTTGAAATGTCATAGATAAATTTTATAAGTTATCAAATCTCTTTTTCTTTTATGAAGAAATTATTTATTTCAGTATAGTATTTTAGTGACTTGAAGAGTAAACATTAAATGTTATGACAATCTTCAATTATAGAAAAGCTTAATGAAAACATCTGGTTGTTTTAAGACTTCAGTTGCATTTTATTTCTTCTTCTTTGTATATACTTTTTTATTCATTTGCCTTAATGTGATGCTTTGCATATTTATTTCCTTTTCTAAATCTTATGAAGTCCCGCAGTGGACTGATCGTTAAGACACGGTTCCCAGCAGATCACCGAAGTCGAGCATCACTGGCTACGGTCAGTGTGCGGGTGGGTGACCACTTGGATCAGTCTGCGTAAGGACCGAGGGTATGCGGTATTTGTCCTCGTTAAACTGTGCTACCGTAAAGTGCTCGACTTCGCGTGCAGGTCGTCGGGCTACCGAAGCGGGGGTGCCACCCCCTCTGCAGAGGATCAAAATTGTGATGGCATGTCTTCGGATCTTCCTCCGGGATGTTTCCCAGACCGTCGCCAATAGCCCATTGTGCAGCTCTAGTGCGACGTAAATTAACAACAACAACAACAAATCTTATGAAAGAGCCTAAACTGGCTATGGGTTCAAAAACCATTCTGATTCCAATTTATTTGCTTGTAATTGTCAAGTATTGACATGGAAAATAAGAACTCTATTGTATACACTTACAGCTGTCAATAGCATATTCTTTTAGTTCTTCATTGTTCATCTTTTTTTTATATTCATTCCATAGAAGGTGCTTCGTTGCTTCAGAAAACTAGAATGAAATGAAGTGAAGAAATCGGATAAGCATACTCTAAGTATTCATCAATCACCAGCAGGTTTTTCACAGACATGCAAAGTAATTGAATTATTTACTATTTTGTGTACGGTTTAGTGCTGAAGTTAAATGAGAAACTTTAATTCAGATTTGTCCTAAAACTAAAAGTTTAATTTTCAGCCCGATTGAACCAGTTTCACATTATTTTTATCCTTAATGCCTATGGTAAAATTAACTATGGTTAAGCAGAGACTTGCTGGTGAGAATTGTTTGACAACACTATTCAAAACCTTAATTGATCTTTTGTACTTTCTCTGTTGTTAGGAATATATCACTCTAACATCGTCAACTTTTTGAATCACTTTTAAGATTTGTGTTATTACCGTAATTTCCCAGAGATACGCCACAGCATTCATGAAGGCCTATCTGGTGGTTTCTTTTACTACTTAAGCTTGAAAATTCTATTTTTATTCTTTGATTTCTCTATCACCCTTCCTTTTGCAGCAATCTATTCTAGCATTTTAGAATCAATAATAATCTTAAAAATTAACAAAGGGGAAAACAGGTGACGAGACAGTGCCTAGGATGCTCTCCTCTTTTACTAAAAGGTTGTTGACAAATGCCCTTCTCGCAATATCCCCATGAATACTCTATTTTATCCCCAGGAATACATATTTTTAGTCTGGGAAATGTATGATTTTGAAATTTAAAGATGCTTGAGTAAAATAATGCAATTTAATTAGCACATGGGTAAAAGGATAATGCATGAATTGCTGGTTTTTGACATAAGGTAGTCTATTTTTTTTTAACTTTCTTTCTTTTTCACTGATTAAAAGAAAGATCGTATTTATTTACTGTATATTTAAAGTTTATTTTAACAATTTATAGCTTTTCAATCATTTGATTTATTTATAACTGGGATATTAAAATTAATTATGAAAGAAATAAGATATAATGTGTTCACAAATATTTTATGCTCCAATTTTGGGAAAAACGGGATTATGTTTTTATTTATTATTATTATTTTTTAAAAAATTATTTGTACACTTCTGACGCTTGTGATGATATTCTTCCTACCAGTTTGTGTCGACAGGACAGATCAAATGATAATGATAGCCAATGATGCATATTATAATCCTTCTTTTTTGCGGGAAATATGATATTTTCTCCTGACAATAATACATTATTTAAATAAACTTCTTATGTATCTTAACTAAAATTGTTGCTAAATTAAGAAAATTTAACTTTGATTCTATCCTTTTTTGATTAACACTCTTCAGTGACAGATACAGCATAAAACTTGTACTCAGGGACAGTGTCAAAGGTTTTTAGCAATTTTTTTCATGTTCAAATTTTAAAAAATTTAAATTAGTAATAAGAAATATTATACTTTTGCAATTGTTATGCATAGTATAATTTTGCACAAAACAAGGTTTATTTTATTTAATTAATATTAAAATATTTTGTTTTTGAATTATTGTACAGATTTTTAGCTGTTATTATTTTTTATTTGATATAATGATATTTAAGTTTTTAAAATCAAATTACAATTGAGAGATGTGATGCCATCCTGATTGTACAATTTTGAGATACTTTTTATTAATTTATTGTTTTTTAATAACTTATTTTAATTATTTTCAGGTGCTTAATCTCTTGATTTGTGAAAAAAATTGGGATATTTTAAATTAGTATATATTGACGTAATGTATTTGTGATTATTTTGCGTTTGAATTGCTCACAATTGTACATGGTATGAGTTAGCATAATTTTGAAAATTTATTATGAAAATTATTGAAATGCATTTTTGTTTTAAAGTAAGACTGCGTGTATTCATTTATCTTATATTTAATAATCATTTTAATGATTTTAACTGTTTGATCATTTATTTAATTTATTATTTGTTATTTGTAAGAGATGCATTTACTCTGAGATTATTCAGATTGTACAATTTCGTGTTGCATATCTGATGATGCTGCCTTTTTCATAAAAACTTTTCCTTTTTGATAGAATCTTGCTGGTAGGGTTTATATCTCAGGGCGGCGTATCTCCTTGAAATTACAGTAATGTCATTTCCTTGTTTAATATTATTATTAGACATTCTGCAATTTTATGAAGTCACTATCTTTCTTTCTTGCGTAATTGCTTTGTAGCTATAGATTTTCTGTTTAATGTCAGTGAGGTCTTGTCATTATTATTAGAACTTTTACTTATGCATTGAAATAGACACCTCAGTGTTGCAGGTTGGGTGATAGAATCATCCAGTATGTGTATAATTAGGATTCCTAATCTGTTCTGTGATGATGCAAGGTAGCAAATTAATTATGACAGATTTTGACTATTTTTTCTTTAGTTGCAGAAGCTCAATTAATGATTTTTTGTTCTAATTTATGTTAAATAATAATCGTACTTTCTTTCTAAATTATTTTATTGCTGTGACAACTTACATTATTCTTATTTATTTTAGATTTATGTCAGTTCCTTCCACTGTGATTTATTTTACATTGTATGATAAATTTAGAGAGAAATTAGCACATAGTACTAGTCTACCTAAAGAAATGGATTTTTGGATTCCAGTGTTTGCTGGAGTTTCTGCTCGAGGTTATTAACTTTGCTTGATGCTTAGTTTTATCTATAATTTTTATTAAACGTAAAAGTCTTATAAAGTGAAATAAAACATTTATAGATCTTATAAAGAGCTTTAAAATTTACTCAAGAAAGCTTTATATCAAAACTAAATCATATCATTAATTGAAACATTCCAAAATTTAAGTTAATGGCCACATATTATTTTTCTAGAATGAGTAATTTCTTTTTGCCTGACGTATATTTTTCCTAAATTTTTTTTTTGAAATTGAGCTTGCAGAAAAAATATATTTTATCTTTGTTCTAGATATTTTTTTGATTTTTAATATTTTTGCCATTCCTTTCTTGACTCTAAATATATTTCATAGCAAATTAACATATTATTAGAATGTAATTTTATTTAAATTTAGATACATTATTGTTCTTGTCATTATTTACAAATTTTTCAATGAGCAAGATTGCCTAAAGAGCAGTTTCTGATTCATTGTAGATAGAAAAGACAACATACATGCATATTTTTTTCCCCTTCGAATTGAAGCATAAGGCCTCTGTCATTGCTTTCTCTCTAGATATTTTGCCTCCTTATTTATTTTGCTGATTGCTTTCAGTTCATTTGCAACCCTTCTTTCCCAAGTTGTTTTAAACCTTTTCTGTTGCCTTTAGGGTTCTGGCAAAAATAACCTGTTTCATTTTAATTTCTCAGGTTTACAGAGAATATGACCAAATTATTTCCATTTTTTGTTTCCATCTGCTATGCAAAGTTTAAAAATGTCTTTGAAAAAATATCTGCTTGAAAATATCTTGAAATATATGCTTGATATCTTAAAGCTTAAAAATTTATTTTTTACAAATTTTATGAAGCCACCAGATACTTAAGCTTCTTCTTAAGCTGCAGTGGACAAATACTTTGATAAATATTCTAAGTTTTCCTTGTTATTATCATTGCAGTGCTATGTTTCCAATCTATAGAGAAGGACAAATATTACACTGGTATTAAAAATTCTAATTGAAGTCCTAATATTTTTATTTTTCCAGAATTTGTCGAGAATTGTGGAGCTGCTTCTGTCTTTATTTATTCTATTGATTATATCTCATCAATTCCTACTTTGTTGTCAATAATACTTCCAAAATAGAAATGTTTCTTAAAGGTTGAGATAGAAATTTTGCATATTTGTGAAAAAAATCTCAGAGGATTTTTCTGCTTTTTTTTTTAAACACACAGTTTGAATATTGCATTTTTTTTTATGATTTCAAGAGTAAAAAAAAAATTAATTTGTTACTGGCACAAGTAAAATTTATTTTATTAAGCAATAGATATGTTTTATAAAGTCGAATGTATATGTGTTTATTAAGTAGTTTTTCATTTTATCCTGATTATGTTTTATCATAAAATGAGATAAATATTTATGACAATTTTGTATAATTAAATATTAAACATTAATTAAAAAAATTTAGAAGTGAATTACATAAAAACTGTATACCATTAAAATAATTATGCATTTTATTTACCTTTATTTAAAGTGTTTTGCTATAGTAAAATATTTGGTCATAATGTTACTTGAAAGTAGTTTTTTTCATATAGAATTTATTTTATTGTAAAGTAAATTGTTTAAGTTTTCATGCTTATTTATTTTCACTGATTTCTCTAGTGATTAAGCCTGACAATCTTGAATATACTGTATCTAAAAACTATTTAGTGTAGATTTGGCATGGTTTGAAACGCACTGTATTAAATATTTATGCAAAATAAATCTTTGCAGATTTTGCTGAAATTGAGATATACTTTTCTTTTTAACATTCTAAATTAAATATTCAAAGCACTTTTCAAACATAAATTTTTCTATGAGATGTAGAAGTAAGGAAATATAAAATTCCGTACAACTGCTTTAAATGTATAATATTATGTTCAATGTTTTATAACTACTGATTTTTAATAGTTGAGCAAATTGAAAATTTAAAAAAAAAAAGACTGACTTAGTGACTACTTAGTGTTTTTTAAATTTATTTTATCACTTTTTTCTGACATCTGTAGAAAATGAGTACAAACTTAATGTAATGAATAAAGTAAGGTTTAATAATTCTGATCTAATTATTGATAATGTCTTATGTAATTATGTAACGTTTATATTATATTTGATATAATGTGCAGGGCTTCCAACTTTCTACGTGTTTTGAAAAAATTTCTTTTAGTGATAGCTGAGTTTATGCTTTAATGTATGATTCATTATTTAATTAATTTGATTTAAAGTTACTTTCCACACCACTACATGTAAATGATTCAGAACTTCATTTGAAGGGTCACTTTGTTCTAGCTCTCTCCTGGTGAGGCTTTTAAAATGTTGGCAAAATTACTAAAAATTCTCAAAACTTGGGTTTTTAATTGCCTACAACTCTATAAATTATTTAACAAAATATGTAGTAGTTGGCTGCTCTGTATGTGTGAATGATGCGATTTAAATTAATTAAATTTATAGAATTAGTATGATGATGTAAATTTTAATGCTTCTGTGATGATCCATTATAGAACTGAGTTAATGTGCATAAACAACTACTTGTATTCGTTTTACATTTTTAACTAGAAAATAGTTTTATGCAATCACGATAATAATCCTTATCAGATCCATAGAGCCAAGAAAAGGAGGAGATGACATTCTTCACAAATCCTCATAGATTATTTTCTAACCTTGCTTTGATATTGACAAGTTCTCTTCAATTTCAGTTCAAAACCTGATAAATACCTTAAAAATAAGATTCACATGTTCTTTTTTAATCTAGCATTTCTCAATAAGTATTGTCCATGGAATAATATTCTTCTCCTTTTAGAATCTCGAAAAAAAAATTTTCTTAAGGAAACTACTAATGCAAAATAAACTATTCAGTTGCATGTTATTTTTTTGTTGTTCAATTAGTTTTTTTTTAATAATGGCAGGCACTGAACTTTTGTTCTTCACCTTAGAAGATGTTGGAAGTGTTGCTCATTTATTGTTACCCAGTGGGCACCTGTGAACCAAAGTCACGGAGGCGAGCAACATTACTCACGCCACACTGCCACAAATGCTTGTTCATAGGGTGGGCCATACATTCACACATCAGAAGACAACACAGAGAGAAAAACATCCATGCCAAGAGCGGGATTCGAACCCGCAGCCATTGGCTTTGCAGTCAGGCACACTAACCACTCGGCCACCTGGCCAGCTGTTTAATTAGTTTAGGAACATAATAAAACATTAATCAAGATAATAGCTATTTATTAAATAAAAGTAGTGGATGTAGAACTAAGATTATTTAATTTAAATGGATCAACTTTCATGTAAAGAAAGGTTACAAAATGCATTGAAGTTGATATATTTTAATCAAAGTGAGTTTAAGAATTAGTTACAAATTATTTTGTTCCTCTTATTTTCAGTCAGACTAAATTTAAATCATCATTTGATTTCACCAACTTTAGGCTTGGCATAGTATAGCTGTCTGTGGCACTTATGCTGTTATGTTCTTGAAGTTTTTGACTTCTTTCCTATTATCTGAATCTCAATGTAATACAAATATTTTATAGCCATACTATAGAAAAACAATAACTTCAGACATATAAAAGTCTCAAACTTAAGTTAATTAGCTACTATAGTTTTGATAGTGAGACATAATGTATGCTTGTTGATATAAACTCCATTTTCTTTAAGAAAAAATATAAGGATTTTTGGTAAAATATTCATTAGTGATCTTGAAATATAATGTATTTTTATAGGGGCAATTTGTGCTTTTGGGCATTTTTTTGGCAAAACCAAATCTAGTTTCCCCTCCATAGCTACATTGTGTGTTCGATTTTCATAGTAACCTCTAAATTTATAAGGAAAATAAATTATAAAGAAAATAAAACAAAAGTGTTATACATATATCTCATTTAAAGAAATTTTAGTATGAATAAAATAATTTTTCTTTCAAATAAATTAAAGCATGATTTTAGCTAGATGCCATAGAGCAAAAAAAAAAGAAAAAAAAAAAAACATTTTTCAATATTTTAGTATTGTTTAGGATATACATATGAAAAATTATAATGTTATACTCTTATCCATTTTTTATAGCCATCAATAATTTGAAATTGATATTTTCTTTTCAGCTGGAACTGTTACTGCAGTGAGCCCTATTGAATTTCTGCGCACAAAAATGCAATCAGAAAAAATTGATACCTTTAGTGAGTTGATTTATGTTTTTAAATTATTTTATGAATATTGAATTTTTGACCTAAGAAAGTGTTGCTTTATTGACTTTCTTATATGAAACAACTGAGAAATTGAAAAGGAAAAAAAAAAAATTATTTTGAAAGTAATTTGATTAAGTCAAATACTTCATGCACATAGGTACTTCTCAAAACATATTGTACAAAATAATAATAAATAAGTAAAAAATGAAAGTGTGTAACACCAGTTTAAAAATTGACATTTGTAAAACAGTGCTTGGATATTTATTTTCTCCTACACTTAAGAAATGAGTTATGACCAGTTTTTCACTAGCATTTCAGCTCAGTTAAAAAAGTGTCTACAGTAAGGTGCTTTAATTAAGAGAGAACATGATACAATATAGTCAATATCAAGAAAGTTCTCCTATGAACATAGAGGGTAATCGTGCAAGGGGTCACACTGATGTGGTGTATGTGACCCTCTAGGAACTCCTGTGATTTCAAGAGTCTATAATTGGTAGTGGCCTCACGTCTATAAGGAGATTCTTAGAAGATGAGCAATAAGTTTTCTTTAGAACAAACCTATGGACTGAGTTATGTGATCGCTGTTTATTGTACTACTGGCCTTTTGCTTTGTTTTAACTACAAACATTAGAATATAGACAGAGGTGGCTGAAGTAGGGATCATCCAGCTTTAGCTAGTTGGCCAACATGTTTATTTCCTGGAATTTTGTAGTAGCTTCGTTACTTATAAAAAATATCTAGGTTCTGAAAATGTGTGTTTTAGGATGTACATTTGTGAAAAAAATTTTAAAAGTGCTCTTAGAAATGTTAACAATTTTGCACATTTATTTTTATAAAATATTCTACCACCATTTTTTTAAAAAAAAAGCAGCTTAAATGAAAAGTCTACGGCACCATTTTAAGATTGACACTTGTAAAAATTATTTATGTTCTTAAAATATACGTTATAGGGTGTTTATAAGTGAAATTAATTAAAAGGTCTATTGTGCATTGTGTTTGTCATTTTTCTATCATTTTGAAAATAATCGCTGCTCAAATGCAAATCATATGGCATAAATTCATGAAAGGATTCTCATTGAAAACACTGTTTTAAAAATTAGAAATTGTGATACAAATTCATAAAATTATTGTTAAAGTTTTTCTTGAAACTTAAAAATTATTGTAAGTTCTCTTTATAAAATTCAGCGTTTTACATTTATTGAAAATAGTTACAGCTCATATGCAAAGTGTAAAGCATTTTAAAAATTGACATTAGTAGAAAATATCTAGATCCTTAATTTCTGCAAATTTGTTGAATTGAATTTTAAAGTGATTCTTAAAACATCCCAGAATTCCTCAATCAAAAGTTTAAATTTTGAAACTTTCTCTAAATCGCTTTAACGAGACGTTTACATACATGTGATTTTGCCATTTTGAATATTTGGAATTGCATTGGAATCCGCTATTACCTTGATTCTTATTCACGGGATTTTAAATATTAAACACTGATTTCCATATTTACCTAATTTAAAAGTGGTACATAGCAATTCATATTCATGTAATTTAAATATTGTACATCGCGATTTGTGTTCATGCGATTTAAAGTCCAATATTGCGATTTGTGTTTACGTTTCTTTAAATAAATTTTGCTATTCATATGCACTTGTTTTTGAAATCCAGTACTGTAATTTATATTCATGCGAGTTAAAAGTCCAATGTCACAATTCATATTCACAAGTTTTTAAAATCCAATATTATGATTTGTGTTCCTGTGTTTGTAATATCAAACATCGATTTTCGTATTTATGCGGGTTTTAAAAAGCTTCGCATTTAATTCACATTCACGCAATCTAAAAATCATGCATCGCGATTCTCAGTCACACATTTATAAAAACCAATATTGCTATTCATATTCATGCAATATTAAAATCCAATGTTGCGTTCATATTAACTCGATTTTTTTATGGACTAAGATTTTTCTTAAATTATTTACTATAAATGTGCGATATTGTTAATTGGAAGGCAATATAATTATAAGTCTTATTTCAAAAATTATGTTAAATATGAAGCTTGTAGGGTATATAAGTTGATGTCTTACACATGAAATTTTCAAGGTTTTTCACTTTGTGCCTCAATTATCCCTGTTAAAGATTGATATTTGAATAAAATCTTTGTACAGAATTTGTGGTGCAAATTTGTAAAATTATTTTTAAATAAAATGTGAAATGATTTTTAAATATAAACAACTTAGCGATGTTAAGTGCATGATGATTTGTTTTACTAATACAAATTAGTAAAGCTTAGATACTCTTTGGTGAGTATCTAAGCTGGATAGATTGTAGTTTGATTTTTTTAAAAGTAACCTTGAAAGTCATGCACTCCCTCATATGATTCCTATTATACGACAGTACTTTCTAAACCTGTAGTAATTTTAAAGGTTAGGAGTTAAGGGCATCACAAGAAAAGTTTATAGATTGTGATATTAATTGAAATTTTTTAACTGATAGTAATTAATTTTATTCTATTTAAAATACTTCAAATTTTGAGGTATAACCTGATTTCTTTTTTAAGGACTTTATGAAAATATAAAAGAATTGATAAAGAATAAAGGAATACTTTCACTTTGGAGAGGATTGATACCAACTTTATTACGTGATGCACCATTTTCAGGTAATTATCAATTTTTCCAAAGTAACAATGATATTCAATTATCTTAAAATGCCAATACATTTAATTCACCATAACTTGTTTTTTTTATAAGGGCCTGATACTCTTTAGCTGAAAAAAGGAAAATGAATAACTAAATAAAATATTAATGAGTCATAACCAGTAAATCAGTGTGAGAGAAAGATGCTACACCTGTTGGACCTGAGTGAATATGTTTTCTTTTGTCGAGATTATTAATCTCCATTAGATCTCCACTAAATTTCATTGAAATGAAAGGATTCAATGCAGATGTTTGTACTTGAATTCATCTAATTCATTTCAGTGGCACAAAGTTCTGTATTAGCTTTGTTTTTATCATTTGCTGTTAGAGATTGTACGGAAGAAGTTTTAATCATCATAGATGTTGGAGAAAAAGTATTAACATTATTAATAAATTTTATTGATGATGCATATAAAAAAACAACTACTAAGTAGCAGGGGTTCAAAATATGTTCAATCACGCAAATGAGGTTTCAGAGAGGGGGGAATTCAGGTACCCCCAGAGGAAATTTTTGGATTAATGTAAAAAAATTATAGAAAATTTTTAAGGAAAAAAAAATTGCTAATTTGTAATTTTTATGAAAATGACTAAAATGAAATTGAATCAAGTCAATAAAATCCTGATATTTTTAGCAAAATATTACAACATGGAGGCTGATTTGAAATAGGGCTGATTAGAGTTATCACTTTTTGGCATGCTATATTTCGCCAATTCCATTGTAAGTCAGTGCTGAGTTTCAAAGTTTCTTTTGATAGGTATTACTATAAATGTTTTATGTTTTTTTTTTAAAAATTCTCTTACTTTTCTTATGACATCAACACTTAAAATTTTTAATTAAATATTTGATGTCTTTTTCATGTGATGATTTTTTCAATTTTTACAATCAATTGATTGATATTGCTATTAATTTGCCCTTCTGTTTCGAAAAGGTCAATTTATTTCAGACGACTAGCAAAATTCAAATAACGCCTTTGAGTTATCAGTTTTTGCTGCACATAATGAATTTGAGCTATTGCATGGTAAGCCCATGTTGTGATCGACCATTTTATTGGATGTTATTGCTATTTATTTTCAAATGTGTTTCTTTATTAAATTGTGGTATTTTTATGTGTTATAAGTTTTTTATTTTTGGTATTTTTAATACACTATTATTACAATTGAAATTCGAGCACATTTGAGTCCTAATTTTTGACGAGACGGTTCTGTCGTACCTTTGATTGTTTTTTCATCAGTAAATGCTTCTGATTTCTTCAAGGTTTTTAAAATTCCGTTATTTTTAATATGATATTTATTACAACACGTGAGTCTCAAATTTTTGAGTAATTTCACGCATTTGAGTAATAAATCTTTAAATTACCCATTTCTTGTGATTTTGTTGTAAATCCAAAATGTTTTGACATCAAGCTGTTTCGTTGCAGTTACTCTCATATTTCCACAGATTTCACGATTTTTAAAATTCACTTTTTTTTCAAATGCAAAAATAGTATCATTCATACTATTAGAATATCAGAATATATATATATANTATATATATATATATATATATATATACTTTTATTTGCTTTATCAGAAAAAAAGTATTACTCCCTAACATCGTTTTCTTTCTCCCTTTAAATTTTATGTTACTTTTGTGTATAAAAATGATAGGTATCTGACAGGATACACTAGCTTAAATATCCACCTGTTTATATTATTTATTATCTGATTTATTATATTTATTAAAATATCGGACAACTGTTTCAAATTAAAGTCAAAACTGAAATCAACTATTAGTCTAGCTTCTGATTGGACAAAGCTTTTCATCAGTCCCAAATTATTTGAGTTAATATGAATATACTGTAGAAGGCTTTTCACTAGGCTTTTAATGCAGATTTAAAGATAATGAACAAATTTATGCACCAGTTTACCATAGGGTTAATTATTTTCTATTTATTTCAAAATGTGTTTTTAATTTTTCGTAACAATATTAGAGTCTTTTATTACTTCATAAATTTTATTGGCTTTAGACTAGAGTTAATTTTAATAAAAGTCTATTATAATTTGATTAGATTTTTAAGAACTACCAAAAGTGTTAAAAAATTTCCTTAAGGACTATTCCCAAAGCATAAAATTTGGTCTTATCTGCTCAAGCATGTGACAGCAGGTCTTCTAATATGTAGTCTTTAAACGTTAAGATGTTATAGGGGAATCCATGTTGTATATGGTCCGTTAATGACATTGCAATTCATTGAATTTTTTTGTAATATATTTTACAAATTTGCTGTTCAATTTGTACATTGCAGTAATACAGATATTTTATTATTTTTTCATCTGATTCTATTGATATGTAAATATTACTGCCAAATTATTCCTATTGTCAAATAGAACTGCTTTGACCCATTTGTTTTCTTTTTAAATTCAAGACAGTAAAATAGGAAACATTAGAGATAGGCCTGTTGTAGTAGGATTTGCCACAAATATCTGTATTTAGTAATGAGTTAAAGCTCTAATTCAACGTATGTGACCTCATTTTTACAATTGTCACTGATAATACATATTTATGTTCTCAAAACACAGATTTTGTGGTGCAAATGTACAAAGTTAACTTTTAAAATTTCTCTTGAAATGTTACAAATTTAGTTACACTTGCGTGTATAAGACTTGACATTCTGTTGTCATGTTTGAAAAAGTTACAGTTCAAATGCTATGTGCATAGATTGACATTAAAAATAATTTTTGTTTTAAAAATATATATTTTGTTTTACAATCTTCTGAAAATAGTTTTCATAGTCTCCCTAAACCATAAGAGTTTAACTACAGTTATTTTAATTGAACTTGACTATCTACTGTTATTTTTAAGAAAAGTTGCTGATCATATGCGAAGTTTATAATTTTAAGTTTGATACTGGTATAAAGAAGTGTTTTTTCTAAATATATAAGCATTGCTGTAAAAATATGTGAAAATAATTTGCAATATTCTTAAAAAGTTAAAGATCAAGCCATGTTTCCCTCTAAAAAACATGACATTCTACTGCCATTTTCAAAATATTATAATTTAAATGTTATTTAATACTTTTTCAATAAATAAAAATCATTAATATAATCTGTAATCTTTTTATATCACAACCTTGAATTGAGTGCCGAATCAAATCTATTTGTTCCTCTACATCTCCCTCTACATTTGTCAAACAGATTAGCATAGAATTCTAAAATCGTTATATGGTTGCCAATGTTTTGGATTTATAAAAATTCATTATTATTTCTATTGCTTTATTTTCCTCCTATTTGAATATGTAAGACTAAGAAAAGGAGATTTGACATTAAATTTAAGTAATTAATAGCTATTACATGGATTCCTTGGAAAAAACTATGCTAATGTGCACATGACACTTGAATTTTTGATTTCTTGGTGACGCTGGTATCTTGTGGGGCTCAGCCCTGCAAACACACTATCCGGGCCAATTTCAAATTTATAATTTGATAATGTATATTTATATTAAAAATTAAGATTAATCTTTACTTTGGAGCTTCACATAAATTTCAAAAATAAAGCATTTTTATTTATTATAATTTGATTCTTTTTAAGCAATTTATGATTTTTGTTAAATAATTGCTTGCCCACATCACTCCAGAATTAAATATGAAAAATTGGAAATACACCAATCAACATCCTCTTTTACTTATGGATAATACACCAACTTCTTCAACAAACAAAATCTTTCCTTGTTAATTCTCATGGACCAAAAAATGTAGGATTTTTGATGTTTATATAAATTATTTTAAACAGGAACTTTAAAAATTAGCCATATTTCCCTCTATATAATATGACATTCTACTTCTGTTTTTAAGTATATTGTATAATTTTATAGAATTAGGTAGGAGATTCTTCTAACTTTTGGAATAAGTTTTGACTCTGAACTTAAGAAAAAATTAAATTTCTAAATTATGTAAATTTATTCTCTTCAATGTTGATTTTGTATAAAGCTTAGCAGTTTGTTAGACTTTTAATGCACACATATAGTAATAATAATAAAAAAAAACTAAGTATGTAAAAATATAAAGTTTTTTTTGTGCAAAATAAGTTTACAAAGTTTATTTAGTTATTTTTTTCCTGATTTAAGTTGTTAGATACTTTTTTCACTCTCACAGTCTCACATCTGTAGATTGAAAATTATAAAAACATCTGTGTTCTAAAAAAAATGGTGTTTCTGATACAACAAAAGTGCCTTGTAATTCAAAACATTTAGCCTCATTTTTTATAAGGCATTATAATCTATTGCTATTTCTGAAAAAGGTTACAACTTAAATGCAAAGTATATGTCACCATTTTTAAGATGGACACTTATAAAAAATATTTACTGTAAAATGGAATAATCAGATGGAGATTTTATGCCAACTTTTTGTTATGTATTGATCAGTGATAAGGGCAGTTATCATGAATGTGAAGACAAAACTGTTAGGAATAATATCTAATCAGACCTCTCAATACCAGTAGAAAGGTTAAGATAAATGAAACAGCCAGATCCTGTAATAAAACACAAGAGACTATAAATATGCGCTACATGGTTTTCAGTATTCCTGGAAACTGAGTCTGTGGCAGATGCTTGCAGATGTTCATGAGAGTGGAGAGGTACCAGTTTCTGGTAAGGCAAAAGTAGAGACCATATTAAACATGGTCAGACCACCTAATACAAAAGAAATGAAGTAAGAAAAAAAGATCCCACTTCCAAACAAAATGTTAATTTTTTTTAATGTTGTAATGTATTTAATTACAATATAATTAATAATAATTATAGAATTAATAATAGTAAATAATAATAATAATAAAAAATTAATGATGTAATTAACGATAATAATAGAATAAAAAATTATACTATTCATTTAATTAGATTATTCCTAATTATATTAATAAATTTAATGCTTTTATTTTTGATAATTTTGTCTTCTCTTAAAATAGAAGAAAACTTTTCATTCTAACACCTTTCTTTCTTTCATTAATCATTTCTAACACCTTTTAAAATAGAAAGGTGTTAGAAATGATTTTATTGGGATATGTATCTATAAAGAAGATTTGTATGTTTTTTAATAATTACAAGGTTTACTATGTGCTAAAATAAAATTTTTAGTTTCTCCTACCACATTAAAAGAGATTTGTGAAAATATATTTAATAAAATATTCATAACTCTGTGTTGCAATTTAAATAAAAATATTAAAAAAAACATAAAATAGTGCCACAAACTCATCTTATTTTAGGATGAATTACTTTTTTAAAGTGTCCTCTGAAGTATACACTTTAAAAATGTTAAAAAAATAATACTAGTAAAAAAATAATACTAGTGATAGGTTTTTGAGAATTTTTTTGACTTTGATTTTCATAAATGAATCATTCACACATTTTAAGTTTAATGAGAGTATTTAAAAATGTGAGAAAGTAACTCCTTGTGGTTATTTTGACCCAGTAGTTTTTTAAATTTAAATTAATTTTTAGTTTATGGGATTATTTTGATATAATGTTTGAAATAAAACTGAAATAATTGGATAACTGGTTATAACTTTGCATTTTAACTGGTTATAACTAAACGTTTAAAAGTTGTATTTTTTTTAAAAAATGTTCTTCTTAAAAAAGTTGAACTGAATAAAATGCTGTAATAACACTCACACCTTGATATTAAAAATTTTCTGGAAGATACTGAAATTTCATAGTATCAAAAATTAAGGATATCTAAAATCAGATAGTTTTGAACAATTTAGTTAAAAAAAAATAACTGAACTGACTTTTAAAAGTTGGATAACATATATTTAGTCCAAAAAACTTTATTTCAACAATTTTGAAATCTTTTCATTTGATTTTACTTTTAGTTGAAATATTCTATTTTGTCTTCCTTTTCTGATATATCTCCAAATAACTTAGTATCTTTTAATATTTCTAGTTCTTTGCAATCACCACATACTGAAGCATATATTACTGTTCACAGTAACTACTTCTTTATAAATACCAGTTTTTCTTGGTTTTAAAAATTTAGTAAGTTCTTTCTATTTAATGAACAGATCTTAGCTCACATTTTGTTTGTTTACTGCTTTAGGAATAGATACATAGGTTGTATAGAGTAGTAAAATAGCAAATGCTTTGTAAATTCAGATTTTTACTTATTACTATTTAAACAGTAAAAACGATTTAAAATTAAAAGTAGAATTGAGTTTAATATTGTTGTTCATTTGCTAGTTATGAACTAAGGTTTCATCTATCTGGGGAGCCTCTTTTACTACAATTTAGGCTCTGTCTGTATTTGTTCTGAAAACATAAGTTTTTCTGCTTTATTGTGTAAAAAATATTAAAGTTTTGAACTGGAATGAAAGAAAAATGTTTTGTAACATCATTTTATCCCATGTTTAAAAATATTATTTTCACATTTTACTTTTTCTTTTTCTTGTATGGATTGTATCGTTAAAAGTTTTTAAATGTTAAAATTTTTTGTTGTTATAGAGTGTTTTCAGTTTCACTTGAACAGCCACTACAATAACATGGAAATTCATGAAAGTATTTGATTTTGTTGCTATTTGATTAGCATCTGGAAAAAATGAGGAATCTTTTTTAATTGTGAGATCTAAAGTAGTCCCATTATAAAGTGCTAAGATTATGCCTAACTTTTTCTGAAATATATTTTTGTCAGTAATGAGTTATAGTACAGAGTATAGTAATGAGTTAAGTACATATTTTATATGTTGCAGCTATATATTGGTCCGTGTATGAACAACTGAAACTTCATCAAGATCATCCTAGCATATTGAAGACTCTCATATTTGGAGCATTGTCAGGGAGTGTAAGATTTACATCATATTTTTTTTTCATTATTTTTTGTTACTCTATTTATATTTAATATAAGGGTGACAGAGATAAAAACTTGAAATCAACTGGTAGACTGTGTAGTAATCACTAACAGAAAGTTAAGATAAAGTAAATAAACAATGATTGGAGCAATGATAAAGTAAATAAACAATGCAAACCCCTTTAAAAATATTAAAAACATTTACCCGATACAAGCTTATGTATTTTGATTACATAAATTTATTAAATTCACAGCAGTTTTCATTTCTACCCTTTATTCTGATAAAATTTTGCACATTTTTGTTATGAATTTATAAATGTAAAATATTCTATAGTAGTAGACATTCTTTCTAACAATTTTGATTTTAGTACTTTTTTTTATTTAAAATTATGCTCTATGATTTGAATGTACTCAAAGTCTTCTCGTATATTATTTAATTTGGATTAAGTATTCTGGTAAAATGAGTTAAGCTATTTTTTTTTTATTGTTTAAGTTACAAAATAAAACTATGAAAAAATTAGAAGAGTTTTTATTTTCACATTGGTTATTTTATTTCTTACTTTTGCTTTTATCATTAATTTCAATTAAGTTAATATTCTGAATATAAGGAAAACACATAGCATTTATATCACGAAATTTAACTTCAAAAGTACTCAATTAACAAAATCTTTCCATGGAGATTTTTAATTCTTTTTTATACACAGAAGCTCGTATAAGAAATGTGCTTTTATTGGCAAAATTAAAATTTATGAAAAACATTGACTCTGTCCAACAGATTAGTTTAAAATTTGAAAATGTATTATTAAATTTTTTTTATCAATTACTTTTTATCGAAGATTCAGACACCAATTTCCATGAATCATCTTCACTGAAGGGTACCATTTATGATCTTTTAATCGCTTTCAAAATTGTAAATAACTGCAACAAAGGTTATTGCAAACCAAAAAGGACTAGTTTTATTTCTGATTCATAAAATATAAAATAGGAAGAGTTTCATTTTAAAAGGGCAAGAGGTTCTTTTTCAATCTTAGCGACCCTCAAAACAGTATTCACAAAACCTGAATTTTTGAGAAAAAACTCAGACCATGTGGATGTTTTTGGATTTTTTTTTCATGTAAAAACCCAATTTTGCTTAGGGTTAATTGAGTTTTTTATGAAACAATTCAATTGTGCTCAGAGAAAAGATGTTTTTTAAAAAATATGTTATATAGTTCTATATGCCTACTTATATGTACTAAATATAAAAGTAATTTATAGTATAAACTGAAAAAATATTTCCCAATTATTTCTAAAGGGAATAATAAAGGAAATGGCTTGAAAATTCTTTTTTCAGTCATATTTCTGCCTTCTAAATGTATAATGAATTGCGTAATGATGAAGTTAATAAAATGATTCTTTGTAAAATGTTAAGTATAATGCCTTATGTGAAGGTATTATGTATTTCTTGAAGGATTCTATACACTCATGAAGTGAATTGTATTGTTCTTTTGTAGAATTTTGTTCATTTCTATTTTTAATGTATGAGTTCTTTATATGTCTTAGGATGTACATAAAATTATCAACTTTTATCTTTATTATAATTTTCTGCTTTGAAAACAAAGGAAAAAAATAAATTTTAAGCATTTGTTCTCTTTGAATTAAGCATTTGTTGTTCATTCCAAGAATATAATTTAAGATTTAAAAGAACTTGCAGAAATGCTCATTAAATTTTATTGCTAACTTTATATGAATGAGCACGAGCAGCCAATATTTACAATATGCATTCGCATTCTATTAATAAATAATTTCATCATATATTCGCTGTATAATTCAAGCTTTTTTAGCTAATGAAATATTAGCAAACATTTAATGAAACACATTTTTGTTCACAATTAATCCTGACATTTTTGCCAAAAAGAATTCATCATTAATCAACACTCTCACCACTTTTAAACCAGCCACAATATTTAAAATTTAATTGCAACTCTGTGCCGTATGACAGTACAAGTTTTAATAATTCCCTGAAGGGTACAAGCTGAATTATAATATTATCACAAAATGTAAATTTTTTCAATCCAAATTTCTGTTTCAAGTTATAATTGGAGCTCAGTGTTGATTAACAGCAATGGTTTCCTTATAGTTACTAGCAGAATTTATTGCTAAAAGGAATTAAATGTTAATCACAGTTTTGACTGCTTCCTGACTATCTAGAGTGCTTGAATTTTAACTGTAGATTTGTGCTTAGTGAAAATACTGGTTACAACTGTTTCCTAAATGTTGTAAGCAAAATATATCTCCATATTATCACTAACCAAAAGTTTGAGCACTTTTGGATATTAATTAGGATTTTTTTAAGCTAACAACACACAAAACTAGAAGGAATAGAATAATAAGACATAAATGTTTTAAAAATTACATTTATCAAGTGGGGGTTATTATATTTTTGTTACAGCTAAATCAAAAATTGTAGAACTCAACAAGAATAGAGAAATCATAGAATTTCTGTTTTAAATTCCGTATTACTGCCAAAAATCTCACATTTTTCAAAAATGTTTAAGTTTATTGTTTAGCCCTGATTTTTTTCCCAGTGTAAAAATTAGAATAGTTTATCCTTTTTAGTTCTCATAAAAAAATTAATATAACAAAAAGTTGGGAAAAATGTTTAAAAAAAATTGATAACTTAAATGGATTTTTTTTGTTGTAAATTTGATTTTAAAGCTTAAGAAAACTTATTTAAAATTCTTTATTTTACTTTCTAAAAAACTTTTTATTGCAAAATTTTATTATATTAAAGCTAGTATATATAGCCAATGAAATACCTTTTAAACTTTCACAATAATTAGTTGCATAACATTTATATTAATAAAAAAAGTGATCTTAACTGGTCTTTTTTACCTTTTTTTACTATACTCCTTTTTGAAGTGAAATATAATTAAGAAATTTGCTCTGGGCATCCTCACCCCTCCAACAATACCAGTGTTTAATCAATCAGTTTTAAAATTCAGGAAGTTTAATTCACAGCTTTAGATCAGCTTCTAGTCTAGTTTTTAATTTTTTTAATGTATGCATAAGCTATCAATGAATAAAATATGCGCAATTATGGTTAAGATAATCTTTCACACGTTGAGAATGATTATCAGAGAATCATTTTTATTTTTGAGTGTAGTTATTTCATTTTGAATTGTGAAGTAATACTGGTGTATTTTTTATAAATGCGCATCCTTTTAATAACTTAGCAATTACTATTTTCATTTGTATTTTACTAAAATAGTTTTATTAAAATAACAGAAAATATTAAATAAATTATGAATTATAAGTTGGATATAAATAGAATAAAGGTTTGAAAAATCATTATTGCTTAAAAAAAGACCTTTCCGAACCTGTATGATCCTCCTGTGAAACCGTAGAAAAGCATCTTTCATGATCTAACGTTCTAGATTAGCAGTTTCCAAAAGGTGTTCTGCAGAACCCTTGGGCTCTTTGGGAGGGTAACAGATGTTGCATAGTTTCGCTTTTTTTAACCAATAATCTGTTTTGAAACCTGTTACCAATATTTGTATCCAACCAATAATTCATGATATATTAAATGTTTTGGTTATTTTTAAGAAATCATTTAAGTTAAATGCCAATCAGAAATATAGCTAAATGTATTAAATAGTTTTCATTTATAATTTATTAAATAAATTAAGAATATAAGAGGCATTAACAAATAATGCTTAAGTATTTCTCTCCAAACTTTCCAATTTATAATAACTCAATTCAAGAATAAAGATTTATGTTACTCTGATAACCATTCTCAAAGTTTGGAACAGTTCTTTTTAAAAAATCATAATTCAGCTTATTTTATTAAATTTCAATTTATGCATACACCAAAAACAAATTCAGAAATAGAAGCCACTCCAGACCTCTGAAATTAACAGCCTGACATTTTACTTAATTCTAGGACTATTATTCTAGGACTATACAATAAAAAAATTTGATTCTTCCTACTAAATGTATCCAAATTAATTAGTATGTTCTATAATATTGTAGTATATTCACAGCCTCAAAAATTATATTTATTAAGTCAAGATTTTGCCAAAAAAAGCTGGATCATTTTGAGTTTCAAAGCGTTCCCCCTCCCCAAAGAAAAAAAACTGGGAACCACTGTTCTAGACCATTCTATGCCTTTTGGCTACTTATTATTTGAAAATGTCTAATTTTGAAGTACAGAAAAAGCCCTGACAATATTGAATGCAAGACTTTCCCATGTAATATGTGTCTCTGCATAATAACATGTGTCTCTGAAACTGTGAAGAATGCTTTTATTTTAGTGTGCGAAAGTCTTTTCTGTGAAAAGTTATTTAATATGTATTTCTTATGATAGTATATTTTAAAAATTAAAAATATTTATTTTAATTACTAATTCCTTACAATTAGGTTGCAGCAACTATCACCTTACCATTTGATGTCATAAAGACAATTCGTCAGTCAGACCTAGGGATTGCTGTTCATCATTCAAGTAATTCTTTTAAATTTTTATATATTCCATTAAATCTACCTTATGTTTTTCAGCACTACCTCAAAATTCCTCAAAGTTACATAATTTGATGTCACACTGGCCTCTTTTTTTTAAAGCTTTTATTCGAACTCTTATTATTTAATCCAACTGTTTTAAATAAAAAGTAAATACATCATTTCAAATATTAGTGTAACAAATTTATATAATCTCATTAAATTGCTATAGTACCTACTTATCTATTGTTCACAGTTGATTAGATTATTTAGCTCTGTATATTTAAGGTTTATATCATATGAAGCTTTATAAATACAAAATAAATAGATTCTTTCATCCTTTTTTGTCACACATAATTTTATTTTTTGAAATTGTATTGCTAATTTGATATATTTTGAGGATATAGATTTTTCTACACATTCTCCATGGTAGCAAAATTTTTAATAAAGGAATTTTTGTATTTTTTCAATTGTACAGTTAAAATTCGGTAGTGTAGGGCACAAGTTTAAATGTTCTACAGTCATAGGAAAACCACAGTCACAAAAAGAACAATTCGGTGAATTGATTATGCCGAGACAACAGAGGTGATACCTAAGACAGTCATGTTCAGTTAAAAGTCTAAAGCCAGCCACACTTACCGTATTTTTCGGCAAAAGCGCCGCTTCGTCGCAAGCGCCGCACCTCGATAAAAATGAAATTTTTAAAAAAAAAGTTATAGTAAGCGCCGCTCCGGCGCAAGTGCCGCAATGGCGCTAAGCCGCGCATATCAGCATCCTTTTAGAAGAGACCTTTAAATTACCATTTAGAGTATCTGTATAATAAAAAATTAAATTTTTTTATGCATTTCATAAAGTAAAGTTTTAATTTCTAAATTATAATAAAAAATTTCTTTTTCAGCAAAAAAAAGCAACAAAAAAAGTTTTCTCTTTCAGCAAAAAAAAAAGAAAAGAAAGCAACAAAACTATATAAAATAAAGTTGTTCTTACCAGTTGGCACCGCGCCAAAAAACAGAAGAACAGCAAAAAATATTTATATGTTCAGTTGCTGAATTAAGGCTGAACTAATTACAGAAATCCGTAAAACAATGTAATAAGAAAAAATAAAATAAAAATTTATTAAAAGAAAGATTTTAAAATTTATTACCGTTAAGAATTTGAGGAAAAACTAATACATAATAACGAAACAGCTAACAATAACGAAATAACTAATAATAACAAGAATAATTAAATAACTAAGCAGGCCCCAAAAAAATTCTGAAGGAATGAGCGAAGGGGAAATAAGTTTCACTTTCACAATCTTTGAGGGTGGAATTTTAGTGGGTAGAATGCCCTCTCCTTCAATGGAAATAACCCAATGTGACTCAACTTAGAAAGAGAGAAGAAAATGTTTAAAAGAGAGGTGTACCCCACCTCCTCCACGTGTCATTTCTATTGGAGCTGTTTAGGAGGAATCAATCAGTTATATTTTAAAGGGGTTGGGGAAAAGAAAAGGGTATGGGACCCCTAATCCAGCATTCCAAAATTCAGCACTTAATCTGATCTAATCTCTTTCGTTTTTTCTTTAAGAAATTTATATTGATAAGACAAAAAAAATCAGCTATATTCTTTTTATTTTGAATTTTATTCTGTTGAAGTAACTTACTTTATTTTATCTTTTAAAAATAAAAAAGAAGCTTGAAAAAAA